ACTTTTCTTTGACGCATGCGCATTTGCATAAATGTCTACACACACACATACACACTACACACAATAAAAAACATAGGAGATAGCAAGAGTGATTACAATAGTTCCTATTGCATTACATGCATAGGAACTAATAAAAACTGGTATATTTATCATCTTGATATTTTTATTCACATAATAAAATATTGTAACGAATCTCCTTCGTCTGTCAGGATAATTAGGCCTATTTATGAGCGTCAGGGTTCGGCGGCGATTGTACACCACCGACTTCACTAAACTAATCAAATAATACAGACACAATTTGAATTCACGATCCACGTGAAGCAAGTCAGTTTTTATTTCCAAAGCAACTATTCTAGTACTCACCCTTCATAGGGTCGTAGTATTCGTAAAGTAAACGTGCAACCTTGATGTAACAATGGAAGATCAATATTAACGGGAGTCTCTTCAGTACCGTATTAGTTTCAGGGCTATAGGAACCAACTGAAGTCTCCCCATGTAGTGGGCTTATTTGCATAACTTTCCCATTAACACAAGGGCCAATCAGAGCGTGGCTTACAGCTGTCTAATTAACTGGACTACCACCCCTAGGGCTGTTCCAACAATTGGGGAAACATTTCGTTACATAGCCCCCCTCTGAGCCAGATTCATCCCTTGAATCGACTAACTTTAAATGAAGATAATGAAATGTCCTAATCGAAGGGTCTACTATGCCTCCGATATGATTACACTTTAAATGTAGATAATTAAATGTCCTAATCGAAAGGTCTACTATGCCTCCGATATGATTACTTTTTAACATCATGCAAATTCTACAGAAGGTCTAGGATACCTCTGTGTCATCAACTAATATAACTACTCTATTTAACTCTCTTAAGTTCTTTTTCTTAACACACTTTTTTTTCCTTAATTAACTAAAATAAATCTAATCATGGCGTGACATGAAGAAGGTCCTCTTGTAGCGGCGAACTCGGACAACTTCGCCTTTGACGTAAAAGGTGTCCTCCACGTCGTCGTGGACTTTGGTGATTTGCGAAAGGACTTCCGTCTGCAGTCCTGGTAGGTCTGCTTCTGTCTTTTTCTCCATCCGTAGCTGCTCTCTGGCAGAGGCCGTCAACATAGCAGGTTGACCTTGAATCAACCGAACTTTCGGAGCCGGCTGGTTCAAAACCTCTTCGACCAACGTTTCCGAGCCAGGGGATAACTGTAGGATTTCCCATCTCCAGCTTTCCTCTCTATGCTCCGTATCTCCCATTTTCGTATCCTGCGTTTCTGTCTTTGGATCCTCAGTATTCGGTCTGTCATGACTTCTGTGCTCCCGGTGTTTGCGTCTAATGTGACTGCGTAGATTATCTCTGCGCCGGAACTTTGCATCGCAATCTGGAAAGCTTAATTTTTGGCTACATGTAGCATCGCCTCGGCCTGACCTCGGACTTTTACTGGAAATATCGTTAATGATAATGCGCCGAAAACGGGCAGGTAGTTGACGATTCCGTCGGGGATTCTTCCTAAATTCTAACTCCCCCTGGGCATCAGGCTCATGTTCTGTCTCTGTTTCATCGTCCCTTTCCTCTGACCGGTCCTGTCCTAATACACTTTCCTGCTCAGAGACACCCCTTGTGCTGTTACACTCTCCTGTTCTGGTTGTAGTGCACAACACGGCTTCAGTTGGTCACAATGTACGACTTTAGTCCGACCACTTGGATGCATTCGGATTTGGAAGGTCACCTCCGTCAACTGGTCTATAAGCTGATAAGGGCCCTTCCACCGGCATTCTAATTTTGGTAACTGCCCCTTCCGCTTTGTGTGGTCAAACATCAAAACCCACAGGCCAACTTTCAATTCAGGATCTCGAGCCAATTTGTCATATCCTTGCTTTTGTCTGCGAGCACTATTTTTCAACACTACTCTGGCACGTTCCGCTGCATTACATAACTTCTCCCGGACTTGTCTCGCCAGATCTGTGTCCAAATCATTGTCGCCGATGACGGGATACGTCAGATCGATAGGGATCTCAACCTCACGTCCCAGCATTAACATATTCGGTGTCTCGCCCGTTGATTCCTGTGGGGAACATCTATAAGCAAAGGTTACATAAGGGAGCCATACGTCCCAGTCTCTTTGTCTTTTAACCAGATCCAGCATCACAGCTACCATATTTAGTAGAGTCCGGTTAAAGCGCTCTACCATTCCATCGGATTTTGGATTGTAGGGGGTAGTTCGGGTCTTTCTGATACCAAGTAAAGCACACATTTCCGCCAACACCTGTGATTCAAAGTTGCGCCCCTGATCAGTATGAAGTTGTCGGGGTACACCAAAACGTAGTACAATGTTGTCCACAAAGGTCCTAGCAACTGTGTTGGCTGTTTGATCCGGAATGGGGTAAGCCTCCATCCATTTACTTAAATAATCACCCACCACAAGAACGTATCTGTTTCCATCTTGAGTTTCAGGCAACGGCCCCAGTATGTCCATCGCCACTCGCTCCATAACCTGAGACACAGGCCAGTGCTGCAGTGGTGCCTTCCGCTTTCTAGGAGGACCCTTTCTCCTAGCGCAGAGATCACACCGCCTCAAACAAGACCGGACTGACAGGTACATTTTAGGCCAGTAATATCTCTGTTTCAGTTTAGTCAATGTCTTAAATTGTCCCAAATGGCCGCTTGTTCGGCCTCCATGCACTTCCCCAACTACTTCCTTTCTCATGGATGTGGGAACCACTAGTCGATAAGATTTCTCGTTGCCATCATCGGCCTCCCATCTTCGGTAGAGTATGCCTTCTCGTAATTCCAGGACATTCCACAACACCCAATATGCTCGATATTCTGGATTGACTGTATCCCCTGTCTCTTATACACATCTAGGCCGTCAACATAGCAGGTTGACCTTGAATCAGACATCCTTCTTTTGTTCCTCTCGCAAGTGTTCCCTTGAAACCTCAGGTTCAAGTTGCGTCAACCTAACTTGCGGCTGCTGTGGGAGGCCATCCAAGTTTTCTTTTTCTACGCGACCACACTGTTTGGAGGGTCGACGGGAGAGCCCGTCTGCATTGCCATGCTTCGAGCCAGGCCTGTGCTGCACTGTCAAGTTATACCCCGCCAATATCTCAAACCACCTGGCTAGTTGTCCTTCTGGATTTTTTAAAGTTCATGAGCCACTTCAATGAAGCATAATCAGTCCGAACCGTAACTGGACGTCCGTATAGGTATTGCCGGAAATGTTTTAGGTAAACTACCACTGCAAGCAACTCCCGACGGGTTACACAATAATTCCTTTCAGCCCGAGCCAGTGTACGACTGGCGTAGCCAATTACTTTTTCCTGTCCATCTTGAATCTGAGACAAAACTCCCCCGATCCCTACATTGCTGGCATCGGAGTCAAGGATAAACTCTCCTACCTCTGGGTATGAAAGTATTGGGGAGGATTGCAACCTGTCCTTCAGGGTTTGGAATGCTTGCTCCTGTTCCAGACCCCATTCGAACTGTCTGGCTTTTTCCGTGAGCTTGTACATCGGACGGGCAATGCTTGAAAAATCCTTAATGAATCGCCTATAGTACGATGCAAGGCCAAGAAAGCTCCGCACCTCCCGTACATTCTGTGGTTGCGGCCAATCCTGTATGGCTTCAATCTTTAAGGGATCTGTCCGAATCCCTTCCTTTGACACTAGGTGTCCCAAATACAGAACTTCATTCTGGAACAATTGACACTTGCTCGGTTTTAGTTTGAGCCCGGCTTCCCTAAGTCGTTCAAAAACTGTCCTCAGACGTGTAATAGCCTCAGGAACATCCTTTCCATAAACGATGATGTCATCTAAGTATATTAGCAATGTGTCCCATTGTAGGCCCCGCAACACTCTTTCCATCAGGCGTTCAAAGGTAGAGGGGGCATTGCAAAGCCCGAAGGGCATCACACGCCAACTATAGTGCCCCCCTCTTACAATGAATGCTGACTTTTTCTTTGCCTCCTCATCTAGCTCCACCTGCCAATATCCCGTGTGTATGTCCTGCGTCCACCTTTGTGCAACTTGCAGCATATAGTTCAAACAAGTGAGTAGGAATTCTTTCCTGATCGGAAGGGTCATGGCCCTTCTGTGGCAACTGCCCCTGAACTTCCACCACCGGCGTAAGGGTTCCAATTTTCGTACCTGCCTGCAATACTCGCACAGCATTTCCTGGGTTGTACAGCCTAAGTGGTATTTCTCCGGCCCCAGGCGTCACTAGCGCTCGGGCCAAGATCAATCCGTTGTCTGCCAATTCGTTCACGTCGAGCGGTTCTACGATACACTGACCACTTGGGCCAGTTACCTGGTTAACATATCCGCTTACAACATGCTCTTGCCCGGGTAACAGCTTTATGGACCTGGTGACTAACACTTTAGGCACAAACGGGTAACCTATTTGGTTGGAACACCTTATTACCTCTTCACCGATCCGAATATCCAGGGTGTTTAAGTCGATCCTTGCTCCTATCTCAAGAAGAAAATCCATTCCGATAATGCCTGCTGGACGAATATCCGCTACCAACACATTCTCTGGTCCGTCCTAGAGTGTTGAGGATACCACCGTCTGCCTGGTGTACGCCCATCCGAATCCGAATCCGATTCTACGATACACTGACCACTTGGTATTTAATGCTGCTGCTACAGCTTCATCTAGTGTCTTGGGCCTAGCCTTGAAAATTCCCTCTCTTACTTCTGGGTCTTCCACAGCCTCCATAAAGTGGCCTTTAGCCAACCGCTCTCGTTGGTCCTCTGAAAGATCCGGATAGGCTTGCCTGGCCAGTGTTCGTACTGCTTGGCCTAACTGTTAAATACTCTCTCCTGCTTTCTGCCTACGTATCTGCAATTCCATCAGGTAATTTTCAGCTTGTTGCGCAGTACCGAACCGCAATTCCAACGAATCCGTTAATTCTTGTAGCTTATATTATCCATCTGGAAAATTACCAAGTACAGCCAATGCCTGTCCCTTTAAACTAGCAGCGAGAAAGGTTGCAGCTTTCTCATCCAACCATCTGTTAGCTCTCCGACAGGATTCAAAATGTGTGCGATACTCCCTCCATGGAATTTTTCCCTCATACGGATCAGGATTAATAACTGGCCGTTTCATGGCTTCTCCAAACAGCTTCTCAAATGCATCCCTTCCATATACGGCATCCTGTCGTTTCAACGGCCATGGAGGCACCTGTGTTTTATCCTCTGAATCTGCATGTTTTACATCCCGGGTATCCAGATATTTATGTGTTGCATCATTATGTCCGCATGTTTTCTTTGTGTGAATCTCGTATTCACGAACCAGGTTATGAGCCCTGTTGATGCTAGGAAGTAGAAATTAACTGGAAGCTTCACCTCCCATCCCTGTTGCAAAACTGCGACCTAATGTAGGCTCGGCTGAATCGCCCATCAGCCCCTGAAATCTATCTGCTTTCTGGCCAGTACTCTGGTACTCTCCAAACAACTTGTAAGGCCTATCACAACTTGGTAGCACAACTGAATTATCAGCGTCACCTCTTGATTCCCGTGGTGAATGGTGGTCGAAGCTAGACTCAGCCGCATCAGTTAGTTCCTTCCTTAATCTTAGGCCGTGGCCTAGGGTGGTGTGTCCTCCCAAGGCAGTTTCTCTCCTAATGTCCAGGAGCGATGTCTCTACTGGTACATAGGAGCTAGGCCCGTTTGGCGTACTGGGCTTGTTTGTTTCACGTACAGACCTTAGGCCTCCCTCAGCATTCACTGAGATTTCAAGGCCTAGGCTTTGAGCTGGCAGCTGTAGGCTTTTTCTGCTATCCTCGGTAAAGGGTTAGTGTGCTCTACTAATGTCCAGGAGTGAATTCTCAACTGGAGCATTGGAGCTAGACCCTTGTGTACCGACTGGTGCTAGCCTAGCAAACGATTCTGATCCTAGGCCTACGATTGTAGGCTGAGTTAAATTTCCCCGAGTAAATCCTCCATATACTGACTTGTATCCTGATTCTGGGTCGGCTCCTACTGATTTAGTTTGCATCTGGAGCTCCATGCATTCCCGCTCTAGTTTCAGGATCTGCTCCTGGATTGTGTCTAATCCCTTATGCATGATTATGAACAGTATAAATAAAACAAGTTATCACTTAACAAGTAGCCTACCCTAAGAATCCCACTTCTGACGCCAATGTAACGAATCTCCTTCGTCTGTCAGGATAATTAGGCCTATTTATGAGCAACAGGGTTCGGCGGCGATTGTACACACACCGACTTCACTAAACTAATCAAATAATACAGACACAATTTGAATTCACGATCCACGTGAGGCAAGTCAGTTTTTATTTCCGAAGCAACTATTCTAGTACTCACCCTTCATAGGGTCGTAGTATTCGTAAAGTAAACGTGCAACCTTGATGTAACAATGGAAGATCAATATTAACGGGAGTCTCTTCAGTACCGTATTAGTTTCAGGGCTATCTAGGAACCAACTGAAGTCTCCCCCATGTAGTGGGCTTATTTGCATAACTTTCTCATTCCCACAAGGGCCAATCAGAGCGTGGCTTACAGCTGTCTAATTAACTGGGCTACCACCCCTAGGGCTGTTCCAACAATTGGGGAGACATTTCGTTACAATATATATAGGCCTGCATAAAATAATACATTGTAGTTGAGAAACTAAAGTGCGCAACGTTTTTAAGATGAAAATTATTAAGGAAAATATACAAATGAAAAATTGATTTTGTCGTCGACGACGACAGTGTACTAGAAATAGGAGACAAGCGCGTATCGAAAACTAATTCGATGCGCGTCTAGTAAAGGCCGGGTCAGTCACTAAATATAGACAGTTGAGAATGTTGCATTCACAACCGTAGTCTATTTATATGTGCCGGGTCAGTTGCTAAAAATAGACAGTGGAGAATGTTGCATTTACAACCAGTCTATTTATAGTGACAGTCAAGGGAGTTCATATATACTAAAAATAGACTGTTGATAACTGTGAAAATACTTAGACAAAAACGGAGACCCGAGTGAAAAAATCTCAGGCAAGAAGATGTAAGTAGGCCTACTACTGTGTTAGCGATGTTCTTTAAATTTGCCGCAAATGGTGTGGTCTAAATGTTTTCGATTATGAATTAGTTGTATGACCAGACTTGTATGCAAGACGTTCGCAAAGCGGGTAAACGCTCGGACTTGAGTATAGGGAAGATGCCAAGAGAGCGTCTAGACACGTTTTACAATGCATGCACTCGGCCGTAACAAAAGGGGAGGAGCAAAGTCCAAACGGAATATCGGCGTCCAAACGGTGCCCTATCCAAACGGTGTTTTCAGACGCGTTTTGGTATAACAATAGAAAACGCGTCTGGACGCAGATTTGTCGTTTTGAATAATTTGTCGATCGCGCCTAACAACCCTAAGATTTCTGCAGGACCGCGAAGGTTCAATGAATGCATCTCCTATTTTAATCGAAGGAGTCCAGCGAGCTGGCTTAAAACGTGATGAAAAATGAATGAGTTCGGTTTTTGCATCATTCATACAAGGCTGTTGGACTGACACCAAGATCGAACTTTGCCTATGCACAATTCTAGTCTACTAACAGCAGCATCGCGCTGATCCGAATTGAAAATAACATTAAAACTGCGTATCATCGGCATATGAAATACACTCCACATCATGTGTAGCAATTATGTCAGACAGCGGAGCAGTAAATAGAATGAATAAAAGTGGCACAACAACCGACCTTTGCGGAACACCAAATGTAAGTGAAGTAGGATTTCACAGAACATCCTTGAAAGCGACTGACTGAGACCTATTCTCTAGATATGATGCAAACCATTGATGGGCGATACCAGAGATACCATAACGCGAAGATAGACGATTTAGTAACTGCTTATGATCGATAGTATTGAAAGCAGCACTGAAATCCAAAAGGATCATTAGAACCTCATTACGGTTGTCAAGTGCAATCTGAATATCGTTCTGGACATAAAGAAGAGCAGATTTCACACTATGGTTTTGTCGATAGGCCGATTGTCTGGAAGCGAATAAACCATTGCTGTTAAGATATGATTGTAGCTGATTGGATGCCACCGTTTCAATGACCTTTCCAAGAAATGGAAGATTAGAAATGGGTCTAAAATTTGAAAGTTCTTCAGCATTCAATGATGGTTTTTTTAACAAGGGTGTAATGCAAGCACGCTTAACGAGAAATAAACCTGAACTCAAAGAAGCGTTGACAACTTTAGTTATAATTGGTATGAGAACAGGAAGGCAAGCCTTGAACAATTTCAATGGGAGTGGGTCATGTGAGCATGAGGTAATCGAAAATTACTTAATAACCTCAAGAACTTCCTCTTCTGAGACAGCAACAAAAAATTCACTTGTGCAAGACTCAAATGCAGATGTTAAAGTTTGAGGAGAGCTGGATAAAAGTGTGTTGCAATATTTTTCGACTTTTGACTTGAAAAAAAATCAGAAAACCTGTTAGCGAGTGCTTTGGGATTGTCAAAAGACAAGGGTTGAGGTTCTAGCCGACGTTAATTGGTCAACGACACGAAACAGCTTGCGTTGATGACACCCCGAAATGTTGTTTTTGTAATAATGGGCTTCAGCTCTGCAGGGATTTTTGTTTTGTATTTAGTAAATTGGCCTAGATACAGTTGTTTATCTATCATAAGACCAGATATCAACCAATTGCATTCTAAGCGTCGGCGTTCCACCTTCATTTTATGAACGATTCAATATTGGAGAATGAACATCTAATATTTTCTTTAAAGACTCAGTATAAGCCCCTACTAAAGTCTACATCTGAAGCAGGGCAAGTTGGAGAGAGCCAGGTGCAAATATCAGACTGAAATTTGTCGATGTCAATTCTTTTCAAATTTCTCGAACAAAGTCTTTTGTATCCTGCTAGGCCCTGGAAAACTGATGTTGACCTGACACTTTATTAGGCCATCAGCTGTACAGCTAAAAGTGCCTGGAAAGTGACATGTTTCCCGGCAAAATATGGACCAGCTGATTTTTGCAGTATACACTCTCCAACACATCAGTAGGCATGTGTAAAAAGTTTTCAAACGAACTCTCATGCAAAACCTGTCATCAGTGCATTTTAATACACCCCATTATGCTAAAAACGCACACTTTTTGGCCCCATGTTTAGAGGACATTAAAATCATGGCCAAATCTCTGTAATAATTGAGTGGTCAGAATCCAGCAGCAAAGACAGTTCACAACAGATAGAGAGAATTTGGTTTCATTATTAATTTCTTAAGACATTAAAAAATCAACTTAAAAACTTCAAAAAATGAAGTAAATTTGTCTTTTTTTCAATATCATACAAAGTTCCGAGGTCAATAAGATCATGCTAATCGTACTGTAATCATTGAGTGTTTGGATTTCAACAGTAAAGACAGTTCCCAACAGGTATACGGATTAACGTATCGGTATTTAATTATTAAGAGCGTCAAAAATAAAATTAAAAACCTAAAAAAATAAAGAAAATGTCTTTTTTTAAAATCTAGTACAAAGTTCTGACGTCAATAAAATCGTGCCAAATATACTGTAATCACCAAGTGTTTAGATTCGTACAGCAAAGACAGACAGATATAGAGATTGTGGTATTATTATTTATTTATTAAGACTTAACAAAACAAACTTCAAAAAATGAAGAAAACATATGTATTTTTTTAATCGTGTATATACGGTTCTGAGGTGTATGGTCATATTAAAATCATGCTGCAATAATTAGTGTTTAGATTCCTTTTTACTCTTTTGTGGGGTCGTTCCACTTTTATTTCATCAAAATAGTATCATTTATATATTAAAGCAATGATATATAGTTGGAGAGATAGCTGACATTTATTTAAAGTATTGAGTGCAAAAGGTTTGAGTGTGCAGTTCCTGTCTCTTATCCACATCT